CAGAACACTCAAAGGCAAGGTGCTGCTCAGTGAGAGAGGGAGACTTGTAGGAAGGAGAATGGAATAAGGTGGCAATGCTGGTAGGGGTGTTGACGGGGGCCTTTCATTTTCTACCATAATTACTTCTGTACGGTTTGATTTTATCCTACAATGAGCATGTCCTGCGTTTGTAAATTTTAAATCAATTTAGAAAGTAAAGCTGGAGTGCCACTATCCTGTGACTTTCTTGATCTGACAGCAGTATATTCGTTCACTTCATATTACTATAAGCATGCAGTTGACGTCTTAAGACTAAACCTAGACCATTTCATGCAGTTGTGGCATTCTCCAATATGTGACAGCAGCCTGCTGCAGTGGATCTCCATGTGTGCTGAATATTTCAGAAATCAATAGGCTGGGGCAGCCACTTTAAGTTTAAAGCAGACTTTGATGGCATCTCACTAACAGAGTGCTTCTCCTACGTTTGCAGCATGTACGGATCACTCAGTGGCATGGCTGACTGTTTACATCCTGTGCCAACTCAGCTGATGTGTAATTAACATTACGTCTTGAAAGCCTGCTGTTGTTTGCAGCAACTTCAAGTCATGATTCTGTCACATCGACAACAAGCAGTGAACACTTTGATACAGGGCCAAAACAACATCGACGTCGACTTCAGCTTCCGGTGATGTCACGCAGGAAGTGTCCTTCTTGAGCACGGGACTCTTCACGCCATCACTCACTGGCCATTTCTTTAATGTAGTAACACTGTTGTACTTCATGAATTAATGATCCACAGTGATTATTCATATCTGCTTGTCTTCAGATCAACTGTAGCTGTGTGCATCAACTTAATCACAGCATTCTGACAGAGGACATACCAGCTTAGTCTCTAGAGTCTGACAGAACTGGATTTGATCGCTTGACTATACCACATACTAACTGTGAAATTCTGGGTCAATTATACAACCCCTTTGTACATTAATTTTATCTGCACAATGAGGATAATAATACCTACACTCAAACGTATCTCATTCTGAGGAATAAATAAGATAATGTGTTAAAAGTGCCTTACATAAAAGCCTGCCACAATTGCGTAATAAATATTAGATTAAATACAGCAATAATTCTATTAAGAGGAGAGTGCTTCAGGAATTTTTGGATTTATCACAGAATATTCAATACCTGGGGGCATACAGTTAACACAGTTATTTGAACAGGCATTACTGGAATATGGAGTTATGAAATAATTCAGTTTGGTTAAATCATAAAAACAATTTTAAAGCTATTAAATGGTTTTACTGTAATGAACAAAACTGTTAGTGTCATAAGTACTATATACCAATGATATCCTCCAAATCTAACATACTGAATAATCATAAGAAATATGAATAAGAAACATATGTAAGCTTAATTTTGGTAAGATTTCAAAAATATTCTTCAAAATCACTGCTCTTTCAATTTGGCTTGAACCAAAATTTACCTTCATTAAAAAAAATGCAGCCACTTAAAAAACATAAAAATCCATTTAATACTGCAACTCTATTGGCTTCAGAATCTAAATGGGGACCAACAGTAATCTCATGTAGAAGCTAAACACACACTCCAACACTAATAAATGATTTATTTTCCCATTTTCAACTCTGATCTAAATGCTTATAGGAGAGTCCTTGAAAAGTCTTTTCACCTCAGCAGCTCCTCAAGTGTTCACTTTAACAATGACTTTGCAGCTGGCCAAACTTGACTCTCCAATTTTTATGAGTACAAATTCTTGGGCCGATAGCTAGATCTCCGGCTATATTACTCATATAATACACACTCACAAGTGGTGATGAGATTCACATTATCACCAGAGCACCATTCTGCTGATGGCAGCAGCAGACACAGCAGGGGTATACTGTCCTCCCTAGAAAAACGACTCCTTCACCTTTCAATAATGCAGCCTGCAGGTATGGACCTACAAGCTGTGTGCCGATAGAATGAAAGCTATCTTTAAAAATACTAATAAAAACTACCTAGTTCCCCCCAATGGGTCATTCTCGTTGAATCTATACATATCAATTTTGATTTTGAAGTGTGTGTATTCGTCTTCCCATTACATTTGGAATTGAAAGGAAGATTCAATTGTACTTAAAACTTCAAAAAGTTGTCCAAGTATTGGCATGTATATTTCATTTCAGTACATTTGGGCACAGGATTCTCTGTGAGTGCATGTACGTACATATATTTGTGTTAAGATATAATGCTTAAATATGACTTCAAATTTTAAGATGATACCTTTGGTAGAATAAATCTGAATTCATTCAAGTTTGGTAGCATTACTCTAAATTTCAATTATGGAGTATATGTGTTTACCTACCTTGGTTTAAATTGGATTTTACCCGTTAAAATGTTAAACACATATTTTTATTATTGGGAGAACTTTCTAACTCCCAAAAGACATGATCAACGTTCCTCAAAGACACGCCAATTAATGATTTCAAAGTATTCAAATTCCTTCTTTCATTTCTAAACTCTCTTATGGAGTTATAATCAAAGTATACATGTTTGTCCTGTAACTTTTGATTCTTATGATCATATACTAGAAAATAAGAAGCAAAAGATTACGTCGAACCTTACCTGGCCAAAAGCATGAGGTGATCATTTGACCTCTCAAGATTGACCCAATAAAGCCTAATTTTCATATTAAACAATCAGTATATTCGAAACTCTTTTAGCCTACTGTCACTTAACCAGATCTCAGACTAACAAACACTCTCTGATTCATTCTTTAGAACATAATGAGTATGATCCAGCAATGGTGCTCCTTGGTTTACCCAAAGGAATTTACCCAATGGTGCTGCAATTTACCCAAAGGAATTGAAAGCTTATGTCTACACAGAAATCTACACACAGATGTTTATAGCAGCTTTATTCATAACTGTCAAAACTTGGAAGCAACCAAGATGCCCTTCATAGGTGAATGGATAAATAAACTGTGGTTTATCCAGACAATGGAATAGTATTCAGCACTAAAAAGAAATGAGCTATCAAGCTATGAAAAAACATGGAAGAAACTTAAACGAATACTACTAAGTGAAAGAAGCCAATCTGAAAAGGCTACATACTGTGTGATTCCAACTATATGACACCCTGGAAAAGGCAAAACTATGAAGACAACAAAAAGATCAATGGTTGCCAGGGGGTAGGGGAGAGATGAATAGGGAGAGTACAGGGGAATATTTAGGGCAGTGAAAATACTCTGTATGATATTACACTGATGGATATACGTCATTATACATTTGTCCCAAAGTATATACCATACAACACCAAGAGTGAACTATAATGTAAACTATGGACTTAGGATGATTATGATGTATCAATGTCAGTTCATCCTTGCTAACAAACATACCAAGTGATGTTGATAATAGAGGGAGGCTATGCATGTGTGGGGACGGGATATATGGGAAATCTCTGTAACTTTTCTCAATTGTGTTGTGTACCTAAAACTGCTAATGACTAATATGTAAAACACTATGCTTATTAAGAATCAGTTGGGTTAGTTTATTGGCATAACAACAGTTATTGAGTCTTTGAAAAGACTCAATAAAGAGAAGTCACTAACACAAACTTGTCAAATTAGATGTGAGCAAGACATTACTAGATAGGAATAAATTCAAAATGTCCAGAAAGATCTGCATTCAAACTGCTTAGTGAATGCATGTAAGTTCTTGTGCCAATGCAAAGAAATTAAACCTGGAAACCTAAGAAGATGCCTCATAGGTGTGGTATTTGGAGGATAAATCACCCAGAACTCCAAACAGGGGGCCCTTACTCAAAGCAATGCTTGGGCTTTATAACTGGAGAGAGAGAGAGAGAGAATCTTTTATTAAATTAGTTGACCAAGTATTAGCTCTAATCACATAAGAAAAGGTCACATGTTAGCCAGGAAAAAAATAGGCTGGCTTTTTGCCACGTAGATAAAACTACTTTTGACTAAATTTTTATACTTTTCATGCAATTACCAAGCCATTATGGCACATCAGTAATTTTATCTGGCAACTGATAGATGGCCATATTTCCAGAAGAGAACAGATGACAATTTTCCTTCCTTGGCATTTCACCATGTCATTATGATCTAGTTCATTTAAGCTCGCTTAATGTGTGAGTAGGAATTAATTTTTAGAGACTGTTTTCTGTTAAGAATTCCAAGAGTGATTCTCTTTTCATATATATCCATTGGGAATAAAACAGCTTGGATTTATCACAGAATGGAATGACTATTACTTAGAAAGCTTTTCTTTCTAAGTAAATTGCACTTAATGAGTATATTCTATGAGCAAAGGTTATCCATGATTCAAAAAAAACCAAAAAACAAAAGAGTCAGCCAAACTTTATATTCCAATAATTTGCCTACATTCAGAATCCTAACACAAATAAATCTAACAATCAAGGTAAAGACATATTTATGTAAGTGATATATATGGCATATTTGTATAAAAATGAGTGTTTGTATACATTAAGGTTTATATATAAAATATCACAATGATGTAATTCTCAAGGTATGGTCTTGGAATCCTGGAGATCTTCAAGATCCTTTCAGGGGATATGTGAGGTCAAAACTACTTTTATAACAGTATTCAGATATCATGTGCCTTTTTCACACTTATTCTCTCATCAGGCTAGCATTTTCCAGAGGCTAAATTTCATCTGATATTGCAAGAGACTGAAGGCAGAAGCTGATATGAAAATACATCTGCATTCTATTAAGTCAAACATTAAAGAGATGTACAAAAGCATAAAATAAAGCCCCTTATTTCACTAAGATGTTTGCTTTGGAAAATAGTTATTTTATGTAAAAATATTATCTGTATTAGCATGTAATGGATTAAACACTTCTATTTTAAAACGAATATATATTTTTTTACTGTCTCAGTTTTAATTTCTAATACAGTAAATACTGATAGATACAAGCTACATAAACAAAAGTTTGAGAAACACTGTCTTAGAGCGATTATGTAACAGGAAAAAAATTTACTAACCTGTACAAGAACAAAGTAACGTTTTTTCCATCTTTTCCAAACCTTCTGTCCAAGGGCATACAGATATCTGGCAAGAAAAACAAACAAGCAAAAGAAGACTTTATATGAATAATGTTGTAGTTCTGCGTAATCGTATTTCTTCCATAGGTATTTATTCTTGAGGCCAGCCTGCTAAAGGCAAGGTTTAGTTTATTTGGAATCTGAGACGGCACGCAGCTTCTGTATTACAAAATGACTGAGCTTATTCTAGGTTCTTGAAAGGGAATTGATTTATGTGGCTTATCAATTTGTCAGTTCTTACCACAAATTGAGCGAAGTTGGAGTTAGAAAGGATAATCAAAGAACCAGTAGGAATTGTCTTCTTACACACACTTCCTAGGAGAGACAAAGGCTACGAGTTGAGAATGTGGTACTGAATGTTTCAGCTCTCAGATGACTGGGGCTGAGGAGCGGGGCCTGAGCAGGAGCTGCTGTAGAGTCAGGAACCCAGGGTGAAGGGTCACTGTCCAGCTGAGTGACCTCGAGGTGTGTCTACACCAATCTCAGTTTCGATTTCCTCAACCATCAAATGAAAGGATTGGATTTGCTGATGTCTAATGTCCCTGTCAGCTCCACAATTCAGGGATTTACCTGACTTATGGAAGCATCTTGCTGCAAATTTTCCTAACTATGAAACTCAGATAATAACGAAGATAACACTGTGTAATTTAACATAGTTTCAACCAAGGCTTTTAACTTTGCATTGCTATTTGTAACCTAAATTGAAATGATTAGTCCATCATTTGAGAATAGAACTTTTGTTCTTACTGAATATACAGATGTAAGCTTAAGTATCAAGGAGGAAAAAGAAGAAATTAAAAATTTAATGAAGTGTAAGCTTGTCATGGAGATCTATTTTAAAATTATACCATGAAACTACACACACATCTCCTACAAAAGTGGAAAACATTGTTAGAAGTTTAAAATATGACAAATAGAGGCTGAATTTTTAAATTAAAGTAAGATTTTTCAATATTTTATCACAATCCCTTTTTCTGAAGTGAAGGTTTAACATTAAAGATGCTATTCAAACTAAGTTAATTTATATAGAATTCTGAGTAATAAAAAAGCACTATAGCTAACAGTTTATTTAGGGGCTTAAAGTCTCTAGACTTTCACAATTTTTAAAACTAAAAGCTTGAATTTTTAGTTTCTGTCTTATTAAAATAATTCTCTTTTGCAAAACAAAACAAACATATTTTTTGCCCTTTTTAAAAAAAGTAATATGAGATGTCGGCTGAAGTGTGGTGAAATGAATGTGCACTCTTACTCACTATTAGTGGAGTGTAACGTATGATCACCTTTCTGTAGGATAACATGACAATATGAAGAAATAGTCCCACCTTTTCATCCTGGAATTTATTAGGAAAATAATTAGAAATGCACATGAAGATGTATACTACATGAATACATAGAATGGTGTTATTTATATTATTGAAATGTAATAACTTAAATGTCCAACAGTAGGTGAATTGTTTACTAAATGCTGGCATATTCATAGAAAAAAAGATCCTATGCTGCCCCTAAAATTATATTTTTGATGAAATTAATAACATAAAGAATATCTCAATATATAAAGTTATCTGAAAAGAGCAGATTCAGAATTACATACTTAATGATTTGGAATTTGTAAAAAAATATATATGTATACATATATAAAATAAATACTCTAAAATATTAGTAACAGTATCTTTGAGTGGAAGATTTAAGTTTCCATTTAAACTTATTTTTATGGAAGATTTAAGTTTCCTTCTTTATTCTCTGTATTTCTAAATCTTCAGAATCAAAAAAAAAAAAAAAAAAAGAGAGACCAACATGAGATTACTAAAAGTCATAATAAAAAGTAGGCTCTTGCGGGGCTGGCCCAGTGGCGTAAGCGGTTTAGTGCGCGCGCTCCGCTGCGGCGGCCTGGGGTTCGCCGGTTCAGATCCCGGTGCGCACTGATGCACCGCTTGGCAAGCCATGCTGTGGCGGCATCCCATATAAAGTAGAGGAAGATGGGCACGGATGTTAGCCCGGGGCCAGTCTTCCTTAGCAAAAAATGAGGAGGATTGGCAGATGTTAGCACAGGGCTGATCTCCTCACCAAAAAAAAAAAAAAAAGTAGGCTCTTGCATTGGAAAGCATCATGCATACTGTCCAAATCAATTATATATTTTCTTTCAGACACATCAGCCAGCTGAAGTGTTTGGTGAACTTTTCGACTCTGCTCTCACGATACCCTTGATACCATATCATCTGTGCTGGTGGATGTAATGTGAATCCCTCTAGTGACTGACAGAGACATCTGCCGCTACTGTTCTCACCTGTTCACTGTCTCCTCCAGAGGATCCCTTAAAGCCGCTGCCTCACCTTTGCTCTAGCCTCTAACTTCTCTTCTATGGTTCTGGTAATAGGTGTTTAGCTGCTCTCTTTCTGTCTTTCCTATGCAATTTTCCTCTCCTGAAATGCACACCCCCAAGCTCCTATTACAGGGTTAACAGCAATGACCTCAGGAGCAGAATACTGTGGATACCACTGATGCCCTCTATCAAAGTGCACTAGCAAGATGCGCACCAAATAGCTGCCTCGGGCCACAGAGGGCATGTGGAATAACCTGTGCCTGGGACCACAGCCTGCTTCTCCGCTCCTTCAAATGGTCTCACAGCTGCTGGGCAACTGGGTCATACATAAGTGAAAGCGAATAGTGATATGCAAACCATCAACATTACAAGCAAGTCAAGTGTAAGTCTTGCTGCGAGTGTAGGTCCTGTATAAGGAATACTACTGTCAGCTGCAACATTATTCAAAATGATGGACCAACAAATTTAGAATGAAAACGCATGGTTTCTCAGATGACAGAAGGGTGGATGGATGCATACATGTGTATACTGAAAGATGTTATAAGAAACAGAGTAAAAGGCAATGAGACTGGACCACGGTAAGCATTTGAATGTTAGGCCTTGAGGTATTTGGGGCTATTGCACTATAAGAAAGAATTCAATCGAACAAATACAGAAGAAGTCACAATTGAGCAAATATACCCAGAAAGTAACTGGTCATAAGAGTTTTCCTCTCCACATTAAAAAAAAATTACACTCAACAAAAAATTAACTGCATAAGGGAAATGTTATAAATGCTATGCAGGAAAAATATGATAGTTTCTGCCCTTTAGTTGTCATATTAGCCAGACAAAAATTTTATGTAAAAAAATGGACATGAATAAAATACATCAGAAAAGATAACTATACTGAATAAGAACACGTTAAAACTTCACTTCAATGAATTTGAGTTTTTTCACTACAATGCCAAGTTCTGGATTTAGGTATCAAGTATCACTCTCTAGCTTCTTTTTCACTGATATAAAAGATTCTTGGCATAAGAGACACTTAAAATTGAGGGAAGAATGAAGAAAAAAGACGTTCATCAATATCGTTTAAAAGCAAAAACTCAAAAACCATCTAAGAATCAAAGAGTAAGGAATGATTAGGTTGCCATTAAAAGTGATGCCAAGGGGCCAACCCGGTGGCGCAAGCAGTTAAGTGCGCGCGCTCTGCTGCAGGAGCCCGGGGTTCGCTGGTTCAGATCCTGGGCGCGCACCAACGCACCGCTTGGCAAAGCCATGCTGTGGCGGCATCTCATATAAAGTGGAGAAAGATTGGCATGGATGTTAGCCCCCGGCCAGTCTTCCTCAGCAAAAAAGAGGAGGATTGGCAGATGTTAGCTCAGGGCTGATCTTTCTCAAAAAAAAAAAAAAAAAAAAAAAAAAAAAGTGATGTCAAAAAAGAATAATATGGAAAAATTATTATAATGTTAAGTTAAAAAAAAAAAAAGTCACACAATCTTATACTACATGCTTGGAAAAAAATCCAGAAAGATGCAGCAAAATGTTAAACCTGCAGTTAATATCTGGCTGGTGAGATTAAAGATGAATTTCATATTCTTCATGTCTTTCTGCATTTCCACAGTGTCTACACTGAGTACATCTTCCATTTTTTTAAAGTAAGGTTTATGGTTATATTTTACATAAAGTAAAATTCGCCCATTTTAGGTACATAATTTGATGAATGTTGACAAAGTCACGTAATCACTATTGCAAGGAACTTATAGAACATTTCCACACCCCCCACAAAAGTTCCTTCATGCCCTTTTATGATCAATTTTCTTCTCACATCCCCAGCTCTGCAACCACTGATCTATGACCTTAAAGATTTTTGTTTTCCAGAATGTCATATAAGTGGAATTATATACTATGTACCCTTTTGTATCTTGCTTCTTTACTTAGTAGTGTAAAGCTTTTGAGATTCATACATATCGTTGTTGAGATTTATACATATTCATACATATGTCATGCATACATATGAACAGGAATTCATTCCTTTTTATTGCTGAATATTTTATTTCACTGTATGAATTTACTTCAATGTGTTTATCCATTTACCAGTTGGTGGACGTTTGGGTTGTTTCCACTTTTTTGGTTATCATAAATAAAGTTGCTATAAACATTCATGTACAGGTCTTTGTGTGAACATGCTTTCGTTTCTCCTGGGTAAATATCTAGGAGAGGGATCAGTGAGTTATATTGAGAGTGTGTGTTTAACTTTATAAGAAACTGCCAAACTATTTTCCAAAGTGGTTGTACAATTTTTCATTACCACTAGCAATGTATGAAAGTATATCTTACTTTTAGAAGCAAAAACTTTATTATTAAGGATTTTGGAGATGTGGTCATTACAGCTCCATAAATAATATTTCTGGTATGACTAAGTTGAATACCTATAAACCAAAGATAATCTTTGTCGCTTTATCTTGAGTGCAATGGAGAACTCCTACAAGCTTTAATGGTTAAATGGGTTTTCAGTTTTCACGGCTATTTGCAAGTTCTGGAATTTGGAGCAGTCTAAATTCTTTGTAGGTTGGTGGTCTTATCAGCTCTGGGAGGGTTGAAGTGTGGAGAGAGTAAGGAAAAGGGAGCTAAAATCATTTGAATATTTGCTTACAACAGGATGATCTGTTCATTAGAAAGCATCTGTAAAAATCAAAATATATT